TTATTTTTATAAACGAAAAAAAATTATAATTATTTTTATAAACGGGAAAAAAATTATAATTATAATTAAATTTGATAAATAATTATATATTGTAATTATATGAATGTTAATCAATTGAATATTTGAAATATATCCTCGTATAGATGTAAATGTATCTATGAAAAATTAGTCGTAGATTCTTTATTTTAATGTCTATCTTTTAAAAATTTTATATTATTATTTTATATAATTGAAATTAAAAAACCGTATGATTTATTATAAATATAAATTAATAAAAAAATTAATTCCATTTTATAAATTTATATTTTATAATTATGCGAATATTATTCTATTGAAAAGTGTAAATTCTGAGAGGATCGATACGGTAGCACCTGTTACTTTTTAGTTCAATAAAAGAGAGAGTTTTTGAAAAGTGAAAAGTGATCGTGATGGAACAAGAATCCCATTTCCACAACCTTCAAACCACAGATTTAAAGAGAAAAAACGGAAAACTCTGATATTGAATCTGTCTTTGGTCATGGCTCTCACCCACAAACTAGGCTTCTTACCACAACCATTTCACTCCACCAGAAACCTAACTACAAACTTTCCTCCTTCACTCAGGTTCTTACTCTCTCCTCACTTATTTTATTGTCTCGTCTTCATTTATTTTTATTTCTTATCCTTATTAATTAATTACTAGAGCTAAAACAGTAACACTAATTCATTAATTTATTTCTTATAAAAAATAAAACTAAATTCTATTAATTTTTCAGATTTTCGATTAAACTCCAAGGGCAACCAAAACTAAGGTTTGAATCCTTCTACTGCTTCTAAATTCTCTAACTGCTAATCTCCATTTTATTTTATTAGTTGTAAATTTTTAACTTTGTTTTGTATGTTCGATATCTAATTCTCACGTTATCACCATTCCCCCCTAAGATTATAGAATGATCTGTACTTTAATTTTTCTCAATGCTTAAGGTATAAATTAATTGGTAATAAGCCAGGCTTATAGCTAATCAAGCTGTTTGTGATTGAATCCTGGAAATCTGAATTAAGTGATCAGTTAGACGCGTAATTGATTAATAGTGTGTTTGGATTGGCGGTGATTATAGCATAATTGAGTCTGGTAGAATTGATTTTAGCATAATTCTGTTTAACAAAATTGATTTATGTTTGGATATATTTATGTAAAAAGTGAGTTGAACTATAAATTTCAGTGTAAAAATCATCCTTAATCAGTTCTGGAGGCAGAAGCTACAAATTCTAGTTTCAAGTAGAATCAGTTTTAGAGACAGCATCAATCCTACTTTGCCTAACCGTTAGAATTGATTCATAGGCCCTAACCAAATATCTCAAAATCACCCAGAATCAATTCTACACTTCTAAAAGGCAAATCAAACATACACTAAATGCGTTGAAACCTGTTAGAGTTAGTTGTTATAGGTAGGGGTGTACATGGGTTGAGTCAACCCACAAAACCCGGTCAAACCCATCCAAAAATATCCATAAAAGTGGGTTGGGTCGGGTCATTGGGTGGATGTGAGCACTCTGACTCCTCAATGCCTTGGCACGCACATTCTTGGACCAAGCCTTATCATGATCGGGCTTTAGTGCCCTTGAGCTTGTGGTCGGCCCGGAACAAAACCCATTAATGCCTATAATCTATTTTGTTGATCATAGATGACAATATTTCCTTGTTTCACCAGATTGATGTTGTGTGTTTTTAAATTAATTTGTTCTAAATTGTGTGAGATTGCAGGAGCGTGGTTAAAATGTCGGCAACTGAAGTCACGAATCCGAAGATCTCATACGATTCCTTCACAGTAAAGCCTCCTCTGCACCCTACTTATGATTTGAAAGGAATTATCAAGTTGGCCCTTGCAGAAGATGCTGGAGATCGAGGTTTCTTCTAGTTTCATACTATAACTGCCTTGTTTCTTACTGAGTTTTATTTTTTTATTATTTCTATCTTTTTCTTACTGAGTTTCGATTGTAGGAGATGTAACATGCTTGGCCACCATTCCATTTGACATGGAAGTGGAAGCTTATTTCTTGGCGAAGGAGGATGGCGTCATTGCTGGAATTGCACTTGCAGAGATGATATTTAATGAGGTCGATCCTTCGCTAAAGGTACAAAGCAATGATCATATACCCTATCATTATGCTTGTGGTTAGTTCTTGGATGAATCGTTGAGGAATTCTTTCGAATATCAGGTGGAGTGGTCTAAAAATGATGGAGACTTTGTCCATAAAGGACTGCAGTTTGGAAAAGTTCATGGTAAGATATCATAAAAACTGTTGAAATATTTAATCATTATTAGCTTTGATACTATTTGATTATACATTTATTTTATTTCAATTCCTTAAACAAGTTCTGTAGTTATACAATGTTTCAACAAAATCTTTTTTTTTTGTTTGTTTTGAAAAATCAACAAAAACTTAATTATGAAAGCAAATAGATACATTCTAAGTTTGTAATTGGTTTTATGAAAAGGCTTCTATCAATCTTTAGTTATTCACATGTAGGACGGGCACATAACATTGTTGTAGCAGAAAGGGTAGTGCTAAACTTTATGCAGAGGATGAGTGGCATTGCAACTTTAACCAAGGTATTTTTGTTATGCTAAATTTTCTCTAGTACTCTTAGAATCACCTAATTGCCTTGCAATCTTATTGAACTTAGCTAGCCACCGTTGTATGATGTTTCTAAAGGTTCTTGTAAGGATATTGAAAAAAAACATAATGGATAAATTACGGTTCGAAATATGAAAACATGTTTATGTTTGTAATGAATTCAGATTGCTTAAGATTCTTGTGCTACGTTTCGTTAGGCCTAGTGATTTGTGACATTATCATTGTTATCTTATATTTATCATTTGTTTTCTTATATCTTGGTTTTCCACAGGCAATGGCTAGTGCAGCGTCCCCAGCATATATATTGGAGACAAGAAAAACTGCTCCGTGTTTACGTTTATTGGATAAGTGGGCGGTCAGCACTCTGAACCACTTCTTTCCTTTTATAAACGACTATTAAAATTTAGTCAATAAACTATAGTAGGTTTCCTTGTATAGGTATTAATCGGCGGAGGTCGAAATCATAGGATGGGTTTGTTTGACATGGTTATGATAAAAGATAATCATATATCAACTGCTGGCGGTGTTACAAATGCTCTCAAAGCCGTAGACCTGTATCTAGAGCAAAATAGTCTTCAATTGGAGGTTGAGGTAGTACTCTCTTTCATTGTTTCACTCTTTCTTTTCCTTTTCGATTCTTAGGTTTTGGCTTTCCACCATGGACCGCCATCGACAAAACATGCTGTGCATAATGGCATTTTTTGGACTTTCTATCTTGAAGTGAATGGTATGAAGTCAAATGCATGTGTGGATTTGGCGTTCACTGTATAGCTGTCCATGTATGCTAAGAGCTGGTTCTGGCAGCAGCTATAATATTTAAGGTTGTGTTTTTCCCAGGTTGAGACCAGGACTCTCGAGGAAGTGGAAGAAGTATTACGTTATGCATCTCAAACAAAGACTTCTTTAACTCGAATAATGTTGGATAATATGGTTGTACCTTTACCTAACGGAGACGTGGACATATCTATGCTGAAAGAAGCTGTTCGGTTGGTTAATGGGCGATTTGAAACTGAGGTATTCACGAGAAATTTGCTTCGTTTAGCCTGTATCGTATTATCAAGATATTTTGGTTGAATATGACTTTAGTACAAGATTCCTCTTAAAGCTCTTAATTGATTTCTGTTGTCATGTTTGTGATGCAGGCTTCAGGCAACGTTACCATAGATACTGTACATAAAATCGGGCAAAGTGGAGTAACCTACATTTCTAGGTAAACATTTTCTTCCACTGCACTTGATAACATCTAGTATCATAAAAAGGAATAATATTTCCTTCAATCTTCACATATATTGTCGAATTTATTGCATGAGATTATTTTTATCGTTGTGGAAATAAAACTGAGTCTGATGCATCAAAGACCAATTACCTCGTTTGCCGAGATGTGTTTTTGGAATGTTAAGAGTCCCACATTGGATGTGAGATGACCGGTATAAATGTTTATAAATGGGGGTAGTCTTCTTCTTAGGAACTGGTTTTTGTAAAGTTGAGTTAGGTTCTTACAAAATTATAAGATCGTATCAGAGCGTATGCAATGGAAAGATCAAGAGGAACAAATTTTGTGGGTGACATTTGCAATGCACCGTTTTTATGCGGTGCTGTATACTAAGTTTTAACAACTGAAGAGTAATCTATTTATACCATCCAATAATCTATCCCGTTTTTATGCGGTGCTGTATACTAAGTTTTAACAACTGAAGAGTAATCTATTTATACCATCCAATAATCTATCGGTTAAAACTACGTATACATCGGTACTTCCTTTGCTTTAATAATTGTTATAATATTTTAAGAAACTCGTCTCCGGTACTATTTCCTCAATATCATTGATCTGACTTGGCTTTTTTGCAGTGGTTCCTTGACTCATTCAGTAAAAGCACTTGACATCTCTCTCAAAATTGACACTGAATTGGCGCTTGAAGTTGGAAGGCGCACCGGAAGAGCTTGATTATGATATTTTATTGTATTCTTCCTTGCTAGTTTGTTAACAAGAAAGCTTGAAAATTTGAGATAAAATCATTTTTTGGCCATCAATTGTCTAGATGGTGGCTAGAAAGAAAGACTCAGTGCTGTTCCACCAGCTAACATGGTAGAGTAATAAGCAAACCTTTTAGAATTTGAACAGTTAAATGTAAAAATTCAACAAGAGAGTTGAATAAGAGTAAGGTAAGACAAGTTAGATATTGTTTAATCGGATGTTCTAGAATGTCAGTTAAGTTGATAGCTGTGCAAACTTGCAAACATCGAAGATTTTATTATTGTAGCCATGGTACATGCGATTCAACATTAAACTACGCATAATTTTTTTTGAAATTTCATTCATTTTGCGAGATAATAACTAGCCCCCAACAGCAACATTGAGAGTTCCATGTTTAGCTTCAAGGTTAGGAAGCCACAGATATTGAACAACTTCCATCATTAATTGGCATAAAACTCACCCTTTTCTGCAAGTAGTGAAAACAATCCAAAAAATAAACAACTTAGTAGGTGCATGGAAATTATTATAATCACGTTGATTTGATTTAATACCTATAAATTGTATAGATAATGTGTGCATGATTGAGCATATAGAATCTACCTACTTTATTTCATAAATAATATTCCCCCTAGTTCTTATAAGAGAAATTTCACTTTCCCCCTAGTTCTTATAAGAGAAATTTCACTTTTTAAATTCATTCAATAATTAATATATGTGATTCAGATACATTAATTATTGAATGAATCTAAAAAATGAAACTTTCTCTTATAATAAAGATTAGATAGAGTAATAATCAAGTCTTATAATATTTTTAACAATATTGCATTTTAAAATATCCTTTGGAAGAATCTTATCATTTTAAAATATTTTTAACTAACTATTAGTATTGTATTTTAAAAATCAAACAAGTATATAATAGTAATGAGTAAATGATATGAAAGACCAAATATATACTGCGGTCCTTTAAGATAAATATTTTGAACAAGATGATTTTTTAAGTTTTTTTAATAAATTAGTATGTTTAATGTATAAACTTTTATATCAATAATTTTTTAATCACATTTGTTATTAAAAAATCAATGTCTTAGTTATTACTACATGGCAAGTATGATGGGTCTAACGGTACATTTTATAATTAAATAATTAAGCTCTCACAAAATATTTGTCAAAGTGAAAACATGAAAAAACAGGTCTTTATTTATTTTCCTCCGGACAATATGACTTTACATTTACACATGATCTTCAAAAATTTAAGCCGACTATAATTATATAATATCTCTTTGATCTTATTTATAAATTTTTTTTCTTTATTATACTTATTAAATAAGTATTATATCTCTTCTTCGTATGGTACACATATAATCGTATGCATATAACTTGTACATATACGATTATCTTTGTTTATTTTTTTTTGTCTTAAACTCTTGTTTTTAAGCAGAAGAACCCTTATAGTTGATTATGAAATAAGTAAATTAGCTTAAGTTTATTCCAACCAAAAACCAAATTTGTATGTTATTCAAATGATTCAACATTAGCTTAAGCACACTACATGCTTCCAACTACTTCCTTATCCAAAATATAATATGAAAACGTTCTATCTTTTATCCTTTTAAACATGTTTAGTTTTACCCTAAATGAAAAACATCTTTTGTTGATAAAAAGTTTTCTTTTTCAAAAATGATAAAAAAACAAAGATAAAAACATTGTTTCTTCTAGCTATATCATACCTCATAAGCCTTTTTGAATTCACCAGCACCTCTACTAGTACTACCTTTCCAAAGCATTTCCTTCTTTTGTTTCTTATCATTGCTACCATTAGCCATACAAAGACTCATAAACTTCTCAGCAGCCTCACCTTCATCTTTACTACTTTGCATCAACTTCTCAACTTCTGCCTTTGGAAGTCTCATTTTCAACCTCATCCCGCCATTCGCCAACTCTTCTCTTCCCACCTCAATATCGTTCGTCGATTTTATAATAGTTAGGTCAGAAGCTGACCTTCGTGCTAAAGACAGATTCTCAAGTCTGTCTTTAGCACTCATATTAATCACCGAACGAACCCTTCTTGTAACCCTACTTTCCTTTGGAAGTTCCACAAGAAAGTAGAGCCTTTTCGCCTTCAACTCTTTGTGTAACTCTAGCGGCTTTGCTCTCACTCCATAATGCTTCACTTCCTCGGATTCTAACATGACAAGTCCGGGGTGATCCTTAAGCACTTCACCGACTTTTACCGGTGTCTTTAGCTTGAATGTTTCACCATCAATTTTCATCACCTTTGTGGTCTTTTTCCCACCTAAACTATTTCCCATTATTACAAGTTTGAACTATACTCATAAAGTGGTAACCAAAATTTGAGAAATTGGTTTCTCACTTCTTTGGAGCACTAAAGAGCTAACAAAGTTGTTAATCAACAACAATACATTAATAATCAAATGATGTTCCGGGTAATGCTCACAAAGAACCAAAGTTGCACCATTTACATGTGAAATGGTGGTTGAAAGACAATGACATGCTTGTATATTGTATGGGTTGTTGTGGATTTTTGGCTCCATGGTCAAATAAATAAGGCAATGTTTGAAAACCAGACAAAGTTTTGACAAAATACCTAATTTAAAAAACACTATACTAAGTAGCATTTCGCTTTCCTAAAGACAAATTTAAAATATAGAAATTTATTAAAAAATAATAAAATAAAACAACCAATTTGATATGACTTTTAAGTAGAAAATACTTAGTTTTTAAGTACGTGATTATCGACTTGATTTTAAACTGACATATATAAGATCTATTTTTTTATCTATAAAATATTTAAAACTGACATATATAAGACCTATTTTTTATTTATAAAATATTTAATTGAGTTGAATTTTGAAAATTTGGTGTGCGAAACAACTACTTGTCAACTGAGATATTATTTTTTAACATATATAATATTTTTTAAGATTATAAAGTCAAACTTTCAATAGATAAATATAGATAAATCCTTTAAATAAATCTCAATTATTTAGTGAAATTAGTTTCAAACTTTTTTTTTTTTATATAATAAAAATTATAACAAACATAAGTTTCTTTATTATGTTATTTGTTAGGGTTAGAACAAGCATAGTTGCTACTTGTTATAGTAATTGTCTCTATTTAAGTTTAGTTTTCCAACAACCTTACTATAAACATCAAATTGAGGACCCAATTGTTAATTTTTTAAACGTTAAAAGTTTGGTTTGGTTTTCTTATCTTTTCAACGATGCTACAAACGGTAATCATGGTGGAGAATCAAAGATGCAAAGAAATTTGTAATGCATTTGTAGCACGTGATGTGACATCGAAAATTTTGACTTAAGTGTGAAACGCACTATAACTTAACCACCAAACATAATTGTTCCTAATTGGGAGTAGTTCAAAAGTGATTTAGTTAAAAAACCAAATTTCCAATATTCAACTTAAAGAAAGTGTGTATAGAATTTTTTGAGCCAATGGATAACAATTGAGAAATTAGATTAGATGAATAAAGTTGAAGTTAATACTGAAGACATATTATAAACAAGTGTGTTAAAGTTTGATTGAACACTTAAAGTGTAGTCCAAATTGATAGGTAGCTAAGCCTCATGACCCCTTTTAGAAGTGATTTTTGTTTCAGTTGTTACTTATCACCCCAATAAAATGATTTAGTTTCAATATTCTAAGACCCAATTTATTTAGTCGATTTTATTAATCTATATGACTTTTATTTTGTGTTTTATTAGGGTTTCATAAGTTTGTTACTTGAGTCTCAAGTAATTTTTATTGTATATATATCGTATATCTATTTAATTCTTCTTCTTCTTCTTCTTCTTCTTCTTCTTCTTCTTCTTCTTCTTCTTTCTCCGCCGTTATCCAAAAACACTTATGAAGTTTTGGAGCCGTTCAATGAAACTAGCTCTCTTGAGCAAGAATAAGTTTAAGTTTATCAATGGAAAACCCACTACACCTAATCAAGAACAAGGCATAGGTCATGGTAAACCAAATTTTCAATGCAAATCTTCATCCAACTACAAAGTTTGTTCCTCCTGTGGTAAAAATAGGCACACCCTTGATTCATGCTACTTCAAACATGGATTTTCCCCGAGCTTCAAATTTAATGATAAGGTTAGCTCATCCAACAATGTTGATACAAGTGATGAGGCTTAATCTCCAACTACAAATCATGATGATCAATCTCCCAACAAAGTGGACATCACTCTTGACATGTACAACAAGCTCATAGCCTTGATCAATAAAATTGAATCTTCATGTCATTCTAATTCTCACACCATCAATGCATCATCTTCAAGTTTTATTCATTCCCTCCATTCATGTCACATGTAGTTTTTTAAACCATAAATGGATTGTTGATATAAGAGCTACTAAAAATATTTGTTGTTCTCTTACACTCTTCTATTATCATCACAATATCTCCTATTGTCATCAAATTACCTAATTTGTACATTTTATGCCAAGAATCTATCTTATTTGTTTCCTTTAATTTAAATGTAAATGTGAATCCATGTAATTCTGATGCTCAAAATAGGTTTAGTCTTTGGCATCATAGACTTGGCCATCAATCTCACAATGTACTCAAACCTATTCAACAAATATTTAATGTTGTATGTGATCCTATTAAATCTGTATATGATTGATATCACTATGTCAAACAAACTAAATTATCTTTTCCTTTGAGTAATATTCAAACTAAAACTTTCTTTGAACTAATCCATATGGACATTTGGGGTCCTTTCACACCTTCATATATCCATGGAGTTCTTATTTCCTAACCATTATAGATGACTTTACAAGACATACTTGGACTTTTCTCATGAAGAACAAATTTGATACAAGACCCTTGATCATGCAATTCATTAACTCTGTCTGTTACAGATATAGAACATTCTGAGAATGTTCTGCTATCCTATGTGGCACTCAGTTTGAAAATTGAATAAGATTCAAGTTGATTTCTAGGAGTCTTATCATTTTCTATTTGTGGAGACGAATTAGGAAACTAATGATTGGAGTCTTATTTTTATTCAGAAGATTCTACAGAGATTTAGAAAATGATTTGCTACATTGTTGAAGCCCAGTCCAGTCCAGAAGATTGTTACAAATAGAAGTTTAAAAACCTAATGTATGTATGGAACATATTGTAATGTTTTTTAAGCCTTTGGGATTCATGTTCCATCGTTATTTTGTGATCCACTCTATGTTAGAGTCGAACTGTGTAGTCTGTGTGCCACTCTAGGAGAGTTGGTATGTGTTATTTATGAGCCACTCTTGTATTGGTTGTTACTTGAGTTGGACTGTTAGTTGAGTTGTAATTATGAATCACTCATAAGTTTTTAAGCATAGAGTTGATTTTTCTTCTTGTGGGAAGCTTGTAAGAAACTCCAAGTATTTTTCTTAGTCAAGAGTCTTGTCTAAGTATTGTCTTTGAAGTGTGTCTACTTCTTTGTTGTAATCACTCTTAAGCTTGTAAGTATAGAGTGATTGTATGGTTGTGAAGTTTGTTTTCTAATTCGTGTGAATTGTGGGTTTATCACTGGTTGTGACGGTCAGGGAAGTGAGAGGTGTCTCATACCTAGGTGAGTCTTAGGTAGAAAGTATAATACGAGTAGTAATTAAGTGAGAAGTTATAAACTAGGTCTGTTTAAGCTTTGAATTGATACTATTTAGTGGATTCCTTCCTGGTTTGGTAGCCCCCAGAGTAGGTATTGCGTTACACCAAATTGGGTTAACAATTCTGCAGTTGTTTACTTACTACACTAATAATCGTGTTCATTATGTTAAAGTTAGATTACAATATCTCGACATCTTTTAGGATATCTGTGATCTGTATACCAGAATTTCAGGTTTTTCTTTCCATTCTTGTCCAAGTGTGCTAGAAATTTGATCCTCATGCCATAAAATGTGCCTTTCTTGGGTTTAGGTAAGGAGTCAAATGATACATTGTTATAAATCTCAACACAAGAGAGATTTTCATCTCTAGGAATGTTCAGTTTTATGAAGAGGCTTTTTCCTTCCTTATGCCTTGTGCTACAACGAATCCTCAACATAGCAAAATTCTTGACTATAACTTACCTTTTCTTAACACTCTTACATATAAATCCACTTCTCCCACATCTTATGATCTAATCAACCCTCTACCACCACCTTAACCTATCTCTATATCAACATAATCTAATTAACCAACTTCTCCTATCCAACACAACAACCGACCTTTTCTTCCAAATACTCAACTCACCACCTCTCCACCTTCACCTCCTGGCACAAAAAACATCTCTCTTATTATCTCGAGAATATCCAAAATAACAATTCACAAACCTAAAAGGTTTAAAGTTTTTTTCTATAATCTCATTGCTTCTCAATCTACCAACATCTCCACACCAGATTACCATACTCAAAACCACCTCAACAATTATCATCTATCTTCTTCTTACAACACCAAAATCTCTAACATCAAATATTAAGTTGAACCCACCTCATACAAACAAGCCTCTAAAAGACGACTAGATACAAGCCATGCAAACTGAACTTCAAGCCTTGCAAGACAACAATACTTGGACCATGACTACTCTTCCACCTAGCAAGAAACCTATAAGGTGTAAGTGGGTTTGTAAAATCAAGATACATGTTGATGGTTTCATTGAGATACACAAATTATGATTGGGGGAAAAGGGATATACACAAATTGAAGTCATTGACTACATATACACGTTTCTACTAGATTACTATTAGCAACTGCTGCTTCTAGGAATTGGCACCTCATTCAACTTTATGTGAACAACACATTCCTTCATGGTGATCTTTATGATAAGGTTTACATGACACTTCTATGGATTAAAACAAGCCTGCCGACAATGGTTTACTAAGTTATCATTTCTATTGCTTTCCTTACACTACACGCAGTCTCAAGAAGATCATTCCCCCTTCTAAAAAATTCACTAGCAAAAATTTACCATTTTGCTTATCTATGTTGATGACATGATTATCTTAGGTAATTATATTGATGAATACAAAGCTTGAAAGCTCAACTTAATCCTAGTTTCAAAATCAAAGACCTTGGAAATCTATAATTTTTTCTTATTGTTGAGATTGTTCGCTCATCTCAAGGTATTTCCATTTGCAACGCAAATATGCTCTTCAGTTATTACATGATATTAGCTAGTAAATTGGTTCCCACACCTATGACACGACCCCACAAGTTCACCACCAATGATACTTCTCCACTCAGTGATCGAACAACCTATTGAAGGCTCATTAAAAGGTTGATATACTTGTGCACCATACGACCTGGCATCATTTT